CAAAGTAACGGCGCAGTCTTTTCCTTCGGACGTCTCTTTAAAGGCACACTTTAAAAACTCTGTTTCCAATTAATCCTGTCCTTTGACGAATCGATCATCTTTAGACCTTTCGCGCGAATCCTTTTTGCAAAGCGCGTACTTTCGCGCTTTCGCGTGAAACTCCGTGGCAAAGCGGCCATCAGTTTGCCTTTTAATTCTATTAATTAAAAGAAATTCAGAGATTTTCATCTACCTTCTCAGGTGACGTATCTGTTCACCTATCATCGTTCTAAATAACTGCGCTGTCTTACGGGGTTCAGATTCCGAGTTACGCAAATATTTGTCCAGCATGATAATATTGATAATCTAGGGTAATTAGAGAACGTCGAGAGTAGCAGTTGCGTTTGGTTCGCTCGACGCGGGAACGTTGATGTTAATCGATCAACAGAAGGTTCTGTGTTATTAGAATAACCTGGATGTTGATCGCGCGCGAGACGACATCCTTAAGCGACTATTGATATTCAACGATGGCTACGCCTCCTCGTTTCCGACGTCCACCTGAATGTACCATTGAAATGTAATCGGCTGTACCGGCTGCGTCGACTGAATCGTTTCACCTTGCTATCTCTGTACCGTACGCAAACACGTAGTACTACGTTATTAACCTGACGGTTCCAGCATATCGAAACAGTTAACAATCCCTGGCCTTTGATTAGGTAGAAAGGGTAACGCTATGCATTAAGGGGGCAACCTCATGTAAATGGTCTGTTTCTCAAGAATTTTTTTTCGTAAATGTAATGCGCAGATTGATTTAAAATTTGAAGTGTCATTTATTAACGTTATAATGTATACGGAAATATTTTTTATAAATTGTAATTCCTAATAACGATGGTGCAATGGCGGCTTGAAAATGGCATCCTGTAAATTCGCCGTGCAGCGTACAAGGCACAAAAATGATTTGGAACAAAAAAATCAAAATAGAATAGCTACTTTATGCAAAAACGCTCAGAATTACGTTTTTCTTTTATTAAAATTTTCAAAATTGCGAAAATGGCAAAATTTTGAAAAAAAACCGGAGTTTAGATTATGAGAAATTGTTAATAACAGTATTTTAAATAAAAAAAAAAAAATCGGAGCTCGTCATGCTGAGGCCAATTGTTTATAGAATATATATGCCAAGTTTCATAAAGATCGAGTAATTAGCTTTTGAGCTACGTTGCACGGCATGCGAAATTTTGCGTTTCGAGAAAAACGCGTTTAAAACTTAGACCGCTCTGCCCAATACAACCGTTCACTTTATTTTGAAAATAACATACAAGAACATTTCTGATCACTTTCTAACTTTTTTTATCGCATTCCCGAGGAAATTTCCTATCGATTTAACCGAAAAAAAAACAAATGCTCAAAAATTTCATTTTACATGAGGTTGCCCCCTTAAAGTAACCCTTCATTAACATGTTGATAACATTAACACTGTAGGCGCTCTCGAGTAATCATGTTCAGGGTGGACACTTTCGATCCGCGAAATAAATAAATCTCTCAAGTTCGATTTCTCCTGTCGGCCAGTGTTCTCTGCGCGCAGATTAATCGCTCGTTGATTGGAAGCCGATGATTTAAGAGTCGGACCAGCCAATTATCTGGCTGCAAATGAACGCGTTATTATGAATATAGAAGACGTTCCGTTGCGATCGAGTTTGCTTAACGCGGTTTAATGAAACGATCCTCGCCTACGCGTCTTCGATAAATCACGAGAAACTGGAAGAGTTAATAACGATCGATCGCTCGGATCGATAGGCTGGAATAGTTAAATGCTGCCGGTGAAAGGTGAAATGATACCGACGATTGGAAAAGATTTTTTCAAGTAAAATCCTTCGACTCGTGATTATAGAGAAATTCTATTGTCTCGTCGGTGACTTTCGCTGGTCTCGAAGAAGATTTCGCGGATTGCGAAACGCATTGCGACATTGGTGAAACGTTAACGTATAGTACTACGTTTTGTAATTTGTTGATAGATGATTTCTTCGAAGAAAAATATACAGAGTGTCTCGTGCGTTCGAAACTGTGCCCGTTCATTTTAATTTAAATATGAATGTAAATTAACAAAATTAATATCTTTAATAAGTAATCGATATATTGAATAATCCTTTCAACGACGAACGAGAGATCTATCGAAATTCTATTTTCCACAAAATCTCGTTATTTCGACGTTGCCCAATTTTCAGCGCGGTACGCGTTCGGAAAGGGAAACCGAACCGGAGGATAATCGGATATTACAATAATATTTAGTAAAGGATATAGAACGGAGGTAAAAGAAAAACCACAAAATCGTTTGGAAAATGGTGCTGAAACACCGATTGGCTGGAGATACGTCTGATGAACAATTAGCTATTGTCGGCGTTCGATTGCTTTTCTCTTCAACGATGTTCGTCGACCGATGAAATGGAGTGAAAAACGTCGAACGTGAAGAGCCGTGCCGTTTATTTTTCCTTTTTTTTTCCCCCCAGTATTCGAAAGAGAGCTGACTGATTCAATTTTCTCGCGTTTAATCGTGTGATTGTTTCATTATCAGAACTAGAGGAAAAATAAGTGCAATTGTTTCGCAGACGTTAGAGTAGACTAATCGAATAACTGAGAAGATAAATAAAAGATGTTATTCTCAATGTTGAAACGAGAAAATTCCGGCTATTTCTTGTATAACCGTAGAAAATACAGACGGAACGTAAAACTGATTGCCAAGAATATCGTCTCGCGACCTCGAACGTCCTCCCTTGGCCGAATCGCTGGTGGAAAATTATCCAGTCGTCTGATCGTTTTTTCTCGATTGAAAATATCTTTTGGCCCGTGTTCGAGTGGATCCATCGATCGCGTTTGAAAAGAGATAGTTGGAAAGCAACGTCGGCAAAAGGCTGTGCTTAGGTGTTCGAAGCCAAAGCCAGCCGGACGGACCAGTCGACTTGCATACCACGCCGGCTTCGCAGCCAGCCTCTACCTGCATTCCAACCTACCAGTCGACCTCATTCCGCCATTATACTATTTCTCATTCTCTTCCAACCTTTTCTCTCCTCCCTCTCTCCTTTTACGATGAGTAAAAACGAATTTTCAAAGGACACAATTCGAACCCAGATCGATTCAGATTTCGAGTCACCGTTAGATCGACACCGACACTGCTTTCTTCCATTTCTATTTTGTCCCTTCGTAACGAGCTCTGACTGCTCTAATTAATAATTAATCAAGAAACCCGTGAGATATTTACGAGCATCGATACAAGGAAAGAAAGTAGCCGATAAACATCCCACCTTCGACTTGTAGGGCTCGTGTTTCAATTTATAGCGGAAGCGGAAAAGCCGCGTGTACGATGCCCTTCTTCGATCCCACCCCTCCCCCCTCTCTCATTTATTTCGCCTCTCGAATGGTCGGCCATCGTTCGGGTCGCGCAAAAACTTTTCGAGTGCTTTTTATCGTGAAACTTGCTCCCTCTTTTCCTTCCGACCCCTCTTCTTTTTCTTCGTCGATCGAGTTGCTCTCTCGAAATTACCGCGGAGAAGTTACCGTACGAGCAGAAACTCCGGCCCCTCGTCGTTTCCCGAGGGTGGGGCGCCGATTAACCGTGACTTCCGTAATTGTCGAACTTCCCCGGCGTCCATTTTACCGAGCTTCCTCTCTAATTTCTTTTGTTATCAGCTTGACCACCTTAACAGAATGTTAAGTTTGATTTATCTTCCGGTTTCTAGGCGACGAGAGCTTAGCAAAGCGAGAGGAACAACTTCCAACCCCTTCTTTGGAAAGTAGGATAGAAATGTATTGTTTCCTGGAGAATTGTTCAAAACAGCTGGGCGAAGGTACTTCGTTAAAACTTGAAGATCTGCTTTTTAGTTTTCCTCTTTAAAGCGAACTCCGCGCTCGATGAAAAGGGGGTGGAATGAAATCTTCGATTTTCATTGCACGCGTTTGTAAAATAATTTCTGACGCAGCCGATCGTTATCCCTTCTTTCTCGTTCGATTGAAACGTTCGTTGGGACGAAAACCTTGGTAATCAGGAGGCACCCGTTCCTGATCCGGCCAGCTTAATGGATTCTTTCGTCGGCTTTCGAGGAAGCTAATCCATCGAAATGAGGGGGAAAAGGGGGGAAAGCAACCGGGGGGGAGATAAGGGAGAAGAAACAGCGAAGAAACGGGGGGGGAAAAAAAGAAGGAAATCGAGAGCCGATGACGTAGTACCGTGACGAAAGTGGCTGGCCTTAATAAAGCAGCCAGGGTAATTTACAGGGCTCGGCCTGACTCCGACGGGGTGAAACTTCTTCAGAAGTTGAGCCAGCGCTAGCTGAGACAATGCTAAACGGCAAGCTCATGGCGAAGCATCCACTTTTGTTAATGGAACCACGGACAAAAGTGTCTACGTCGTGGTTCGTTAGCTGGTTAGATCGATTAATTATGCTTGTTATCATTCGCCAAACATTTTCTTGCCGTCGATCCTTAAGCACGCGCTTCGACAACCGGTAATTATTAATTTAGTGAATTCCATCCGAGAGTTATTTAATCAAACTGTAATTTGAAATCAACATCAATTCCTTCCCTAATAAACTCGATTCGCATCACACTACTGATTCACTCGAGCGGCTTTTATCGTCGTCATCGATAGAGTGCTACAAATTAGATTCTTTTTTCTCCCCGACGAATTAAGTGATTAAACGATCAGATAACACGCCTCGACGACCATTCGTGAAAGAAACAAGGAAAAACGAAGGGTGTCGCGACTAGTCCCTTTTCGCTCGAATTCATTCGCGTGTGCGCTTACAATTAATTAAACGGGTTTATCTTATCATTTTTCGTTTTCGTTTCTTATTTTATAATCGACGCTAATATTGGACGTTTTCACGGGTAACGAGGTATCGACAAGCGTGCGAACGAGGCTGCGAAAGAGAGGTCTAGTTGGTAATTGAAAGTCGTCCACATGGGCACGCTTTAATCTAGCTTGGCCATTCAATGATTATCCATAAATTCCTTAACGAGCCGTTGCACAGATACGTGATCACGGAGCTGTTACAGAGCGATCTGCACAAGATCATCGTCAGTCCGCAGCATCTCAGCCCCGACCACATCAAGGTCTTCCTCTACCAGATCCTTCGAGGTGAGTGAACATCATTCTCTTTTCTTATTTACAATTCGCATGAAATTTTTATTCCTTCGCGTTACACGATTCGTGTTAATAATTTGTATAATTTAATATTTTTATAAGCTTTCAGATTTATCGTTATCATTATCATAGCCGTAATTGTCGATCAACGGGTTAATCATTTTGCTATTTAAAAAGTAATTTTCTCAAAGTATCGTAGTATCACTAATTCGAGACGCAATTAGCCACGTGCTGATAGTCTGTCAGAGTGCAGCTGATTCACTGACAGCAACATCATACTTTTACCGGTGATTTCACACTCCCAACGAACAGCATCATCATCGTGTCCCGCCTTTTACACCAGATACTCGTAGATTTACTTTTCGTTTCGCGGTTTTTGCCACCACCTCGCTCGTCCACCTGCGGCCTCTAATCGGTATACAGTTTCGCTCAAAACAGGCGTGCAATTCTATTTAATATATCAGTGGAGAATTTGAAAAGTAATATTTCCAAAAATAAGAAAAGAAAAGGATTACTCTCCTTGATTTTTAATAGCTGTTCCCTTGTTCTTTGCACCGCGGCCTTTTATGCATGTAAAACCTATATAACCTCTGGAGCCAGGTGGAAAAAGAAAGAGGACGAACGCTAGAAGGTTTCACAATTATAATTTAGACCGAAAAAAGTGGCGGACGGAAAGTGAGATGGATCGTTTTGCTCGATGACCCCGTAAGAAACTCGTTGAAAAGCCAAGAGCCAGAGACAGCGATTTAGACTTTTAAATGAGAAAGGATTTAACGTTAACAAAGGAGCTGGAATAAACGGCGGCGATATATCGTGGGTCTGGAGTGTCTAAAGGAGTAATCCAGGAAAGAGTCGACTGGTAACTCGGGCTTGATAACAGTTATCAGTATACCGGAGAGGAAAACAAAGAGTTAATGTTAAAAATAGTCCGATGTAATTGTTCGAGACAATAGAAATGATTATTATAGAAGCACACGAATACCATTGAATAATGACGAAGTGATCGGGAAGCAATTAGATGGCGATTCACCTACAGCAATTTTCATGGAGAATACATTCAGTCGGGGATAGTTGTTGGTAGAAGGAGCAGAACTGCTTTGAAATGAAATTCCATGGGGGATATGGTGGGTGGCGCGGAACGCGAGTAACGACACCACTCGCGTTGGTCCTTCACTGGCAACCCTTTTTATCAGACAGAGAATCAAAGTCGCGTTTCAGCGAGATCAAAACGAAGAAAATATCTTCTCCGCCCTTCGATACGTTTTTACGTCGCGTCTCGTCTCTTTTGCCTCCCCTAACGACGCCCACCCTCTTTCTACCATTCTACTCCACCATGAATTTAAGGCTCGTTGCTTTCTGTGTCGAAGAAATTCAGGGACAAAGGGGTGAAAATGTTTTTAGGTAATAAGTAAGAGAAAAATAATTAAAGAGTAGATAATTATTTTATTTTGAAATAATACAAAAGATACGTTTGAACGATGTCTGAGCGGAATGTTTCGATCGGGAAACAGAAGCATCTGCTCCCTCTTGAACCGAGATCGTCGTGTAATTATTTTGAAAAAGCCTCGTGTCTGCCGGCTTCCTCAACTTTGTCCGCGTGCTTGAAGAATGCCGAGTTAATTAAACCAGCCGCTGCCGCTCTTTTTCCAAAGCGCTCGCTCGAAAGCATTACTCAAAAATCTTACTTTTAAAGCGGTCGTTGATTCTTTTTCGCTACCCCTGCAACCGTGCTCGACGACGCTCTTCTTCAGCAACCCCTGCGTTGTTCGCCAACCCTCTTATAAATCCACGAATATCCTTCTCCCTTTCTCTGTTCGTTTCCACCCAGCCAGGAAAATGCAAATAACAAAGTGCACGCGTCGCCGCGGCGAGATTCTCAATGCGGAGTAATAATTATCGACCCTCCTGGACAAGGAACAGACGACGGGGGTGGCTGTCTGCCACGAATGTTTACGTCGCACGAAAAATCCCAAGAAATTATTGTGCGAATACTTTTTCTGCGTTGTTTCATTTTTTTCAAATACGCTCTAATTTTAAAATATATTACTGAAGTGATATTCTGTTTTAAAAGGTTTTTTTTTATTGTATCTATTTTATTTTTATTTTGGTGGTATTTAAGCTATTATCAAGTCTCTATTGAAATTCAAAGTTTGCGTATTTCACCCTATACGAAACGGGGTCGATGAGGTTTGAATACAGCTATAGCCTTTTCTTCTTAGAAATGAATTATTTTTGTCAGAAACTATTTGATATTAGCAAAAATTAACATATTGTTTATATACCACACCCGCAGTTAAAGGGTTAATTCATTTTTATTTTATGAGCGGATTTATAAGCTTTTTATAAGCGGATACATATTGCTTTGAAATGTAATGGCGCTTATATCGATTCGGAGCAGGCCTCGAAGGAGTCTGTTTAATAAAATTTTTTGTGGATACGCTATACAGAAAAATAAAAGAAAAACAAGAAGAAACAAAAAAGTGATATAATACCAAGAAAATAATATCGCAATATAAAGTATGTTCTGGAATTTGGGTGTTATAGAATTATAAAAGTTTCATCGAAAGATGGAGGCTCGTGTATCTTCTCCTTGGAGAACTGATGCTCCCTTTTGTATCCTGATTGCCGCGCATCCTGTCGCGACAACGCACGGGAACAACGGACGCTACCGTTGACAAATTACCCTCGAAAACTCGCGCACCGAAAGATGAACATAACTATAGACACGGGGATGATATATTAACGGCGTGGCTCCCATACTTTCCACGATACGCGAGAAACAAGGAGCCAGAGACACCGGTTGCCTCCTCCCCATCTCGTCCGTCTTTGACGAATTAATTTCCACGACAACCCCGACGAAAACGACGCCCGCGGCGCTCCTTCGAGCGTGTTAACCATCGCGTTTCTCGACAGGTTGGAAACAACAAGGCTCTAAACGCTGGAATTTCACCCGCTCCAAGTCTCTATTGAAATTCAAAGTTTGCGTATTTTACCCTATACGAAACGGGATCGATAAGGTTTGAATACAGCCACAGGCTTTTTCTTCCTCATAAATGAATTATTTTTATTTGTCAGAATATCTAGAGAGAAATCTCGAGATAATAGACGATGAGATTCTGAAACTTCTCACGAATTACGTTTTCGACGTTGAAACTTTCCCACCCGGTAGAACGTAGCACGTAAAGCCCGGACAGATAGAGCAGAGTTCTCCTCTTCTTCTCTTGACTGGTCCGAAACCAGTCCTGCCACCGCCCATCCGTGACCCCAGACCCCGTCATCCGGTCGGTTGCTCGCCGCCACCAGGGCTTCTCCTCTCCTCCTCTTCTTGCTTAACCTCCTTCCTCCACCTCTCGCCTCCTTACTTACTATCCTTCTGCATGATGTTTTAATTAAGCTGATCGTTGTCCGATAGAAGCTTCGTCTACTTTACCCCCCCAGTATTCTATTATTCCAATTATCGAAACTCTAATTATTAGAATGAAAAGAACGATTAATTTGATAATTTCATGCCGGTCGAAGCATTGGAACACGATTAAGAGGCACGACAGTCGTTCTTCAAAGAAGAAAGCATATTTTTCTCTAATTAAAACGATCTCCCGCGAGCGTCGGAAGGGGATGCAAAGAAATACGCGGCATTATTTCGCGCGTTCACGCCAGACGGACGGTGAATGGGTCGCGTTACTATCGCAGTTTTGTTCGCCACGCGGTTCTTTTCCGCTTTCGTCGACGAAACTAAGGGCGCGAAACGGGGGCCTCAGAGGTTAACGCGCGAGGCGTGTTAAGCCTCCTTTTCACCGGGGAAGAAAGACCGGGGTAAATATCGTGATCTCGTTTGAAAAAGTTCAAGCTTGGCTTAATTAAAGGGAGAAGGTAGCCGGCCGAAACGCGAGCCGAGATACTTGAACGTCTCGTTTCACGGTTGAATGTTGGGCAAAAAATGGAACTATTAGACGCGGGCTTGGTCAAACAGCTGGTGTGATCTTAGGTACCAAAGGGGAAAGACGAACGACAGAAGGTTCGGAACGTTTGCGTGGGTGTCACCCTTGGGTGCTTTTAAATTCTAATTTAGGAATCGGGTCGTTAATCCTTACTAATATTTTTGACGGAAAGAATTGGAAGGTTGCGAGTGGTATACAGCGAAATGAACAGATGTCTGATCAGCGATACTTGTACTACTTGCAAGTAGTTCGAATCAACGACAACACCGACGAGTCTTGACTACTGCAACTTCTGTTAATATCTAACATAGCGATGGCTTGAAATTTGTATAAAATATTTATAATGCATCAGATTTGTGAGTAGAAATCGCATTTAATTATATTTTTATTCATTTTGCGAAGAAAGTTAAATTGAAATCATGCTTAATTTTCATTTATAAACAAAGTTTATATCAATTTATCAAATTTTCATCGTTTATATCTCGCTTTGATACATTTGTTTCCAGTTTAATTTAATGAAGTATCGTGGCAGATAGTGGAAATGAGAAAAAAGAAGAGCATGAAAATTTGGGAAATCAAAAACCGTGTGAACTGAAACGTTCTTTAACCAGAAGCTCGATGTTTCAAAAACGTTTTTGAAACTCGCCACAGCCGTTTCATTTTCCCACGGAAATCCCGTTTTATGTACAAATCCCGGATGCACGCGCTGGCCAGTCAGCTCGATGGAAATAGATACAATTACAAAGGATTAATTAAAAGCACCGGCAGCCTTTTCGATGGCGCCGTTCGTTAGTTTCTCTATGCAATCGTTTTGAGCGTCGAATCGTTGAGCAATGCTTTCGATTTTCAACGTTTGAATTCCTACGTTTTATCTGCAAAAAACACTAGCATACGTCGCTACCGAATTTTTCTCTCTTCTATCGTTCAGAATTTCAACTCTTCTTAATTGGCGTTTGATAATTATTTCAGTGATACAATTCCTTTTTTACTTGAAACTTTTAAGAATTATTCCATCGATGTTGATTTAACGAGAAAATTAAGTATCACTTTTGCAAT